GATCTGGCGCTTCCTGAATTCTCCTGATGAGCTATAATGAACAGCTGAGGAAACGTCCTGTCCCTGTTTGGTGACTCCTGCCGCGGGAGCATCTGGGGTGAGGAATTTTGCACTCCAGTGTCTGCAGAAGGTTGACCTGCAGCAGAGGAGGAGATCCTGGGGGTGCCCTGGGTCCCTGGAGAACAGGGACGCCCTTGGAGCTGTGACATTCAAAGCAGGAAGGGGAAGTGAGGTGGGAGGCAGGTGGCTCCAGGTCAGCGTTGTGGCAGGAGATGACGGCGGGTGACAGGGCTGGGACTGGCAGGAAATCACCACTTGTGGTTCTGTCTCCAGGGAAAGTGCCTTGAGAATGATCCGAGGGGGACGTCAGGAGGGAAGGACATCATAAATGGTGCTGTGCTGGCAACCTTGGGCAAGGACAGAGGTTAAGTGGGGACCAAAGGAGACAGAATTTCACCCAAATCTTTGGCTTCCCGGGTTTTATTCCATCTCTCCTCCTGTGCAAGGCTGTCCAAGCCCTTCCACACTCTCCGTGCAGGCAGGAGAAGCCTTTGTGTGCCAGAGGCGTCTTGGGGAGATAAGCTGAGCTTACCCTGCTGGGAGACTCCACCATTTCCTAAAGCTTTCCCCGGGGAACCCAGCCCACTTCGCTGCTAACAGCAGAAGGGTTGCAAAACCTCTCCTAAAGGCTTTGCCACTTTCAAAGAGCTGCTCTGATTTACCGGGACCGTGCTCTGCTTGGGGGGAGGCTCCTCCGTCACCTCCCCTTCCTGGGGCACCCCCGTCTGGGGCACTGAGGAATCAGACCAGACCTCCCTGGTGGCTGGGGGTCCCTTTAAAGTGCCCAGACAAAAACAAAGTAGACATTTGTAGCTTCTAACCAGAGCGATTTTATTGGAAATGAGAAGCAGTGAGGATCAGAAAGCAGAAGTTGGCAGAGATGCAAAAGGGGCTTTGGCAAGCAGAGCGTTCCCGATGGTGAGAGATGCTTTTCCTGGTGGAAATGGTGGAGTTTGCCACTTCAAATGTGTTTCTTTCTTCTTCACTGTCAGGTGAGGCGCAGCAGGGACAGAAAACAGGAGCTCTTCTGCTAAAAGTTGACTTTGGTCAGAGTCGAACAAAGATGGATTTTGTTGTAGAAACTCCCATTGCTGTGGCAACACGAAGTGGCTGCGGATGAACTTAAAAAGCGCTTTCCTCACACCTAAAAGTCTCTTTCTACTCCACCAAAGTGCTCTAAAGGTGCCTCAGCCCTTTGAGAGTGACAGCTGGAGAGACAGGAGACCTACAGAGGGTTATACATGGATATCCTACACAGCCTGGCACCCACACACCCCCAGAGCCAGAGACGCGAGCTCTCAGCCTTCCTCATCACCAGAACCAAAGCCATGAATCCGTGACCTGCATTTCATCCTGTGGGTGCTACTCCTGCTGGGAGCACCTCAGACGGTTCTGTCCCCAAACTAAACAGAGAAGGGGAAACTTGCTCCCATATTTCCAAAGACACTGCCCAAGTTACCCACACAACCCAGGAACCCAGGGAGCCCCTCGATCTTCCCTGTCATCTTCCCAACCATGTCCCCATTGAGGCTGACGTCCCAGCAGAATGGCAGATGCCCTTGAAGCGAGACGGGGCCACATCTTGGCTCTGGTCCCGGTAGGAGCTGAAGGAGCGCCTGGGCCGGAAGTTGGAGCTGCCAAAACTGCCAAAGTTGTCACTGCCACCCTGGGGGCAGCATCTGTTGTCACAGCAATCCTTGAAGGAATTCGTCCTTGTTGATTAGGAGAGCCTGGAACACACACCCAGAAACAAAATTTATGGGCTGCTGAGGGCAGAGCAAAGGCTCCGACTCAGTCCCACCTGTGCATCGGTTTCACCCTCTTAATTAACTCGTTTATTTTTGTAATCTCCTCAATCCCAAACAACTTTGCTGCTTTTTTTCCACATCAACTTTGGAAACTGCTGACCAAACGTAGCGAATGAGGGTTTTGCCAGCTGAGAGCTGAGCTTTCCCGCCCCAGAAATCAGAGAAATGTAATAAATGAAAGAAAAATGCAATAAATATAACCCAGAACTGAAAATGGCTTTTTATTATAAGATTGTGATAGAAAAATTCCAGTTTTCAGAGCTTTAAAGCCTAATGCTAAAAAAACACAGGAAAAAAGAGCAAAAAGCTTTGAGTGGAGCAATTCCTTGAGACTCCAGGGAATTTTGTGTTTGCTGCTGGCTCTAAAATTACAAGAAATTTCTTACAGAATCTCTGTACCTGCACATAGACACGGTTTTGTATTTTTATATTGTATAAATATATGCCGAGAGCAGGACTTATTAAATAAATAAATGAACACTATACATTTAATATATATTCATATTCATATTTTAAAAAATAAATTTACTTATAAAGAAATATTTGGATAAACAAATGCATAAAATAAGAGAGTAGAGTCAGTACAGACCTGTGCTTCACAAAGAGCAGTTGAGAGGAGAAGTTGAGAGGAGCGGATGACTTTTCGGATTCAGGGGTCCGTATTTTTACCTTCCAAAGTGTGTCATCCCCCTCCTTATTCCTCCAACCTACGTCACAACCATTTTCATCTTTAACCATGTTTGGCGTCGCGGCGCCAACGCAAATCCTTTAGAACTTCTTTAATCTTAAAGCATTTCTAGAGATATTGCCCTGAATTCCTTGTGGCCAAATGGAGAGACACTTGAGGAATATTTATTAATCTGGGGAGATATTACCTTGGGGAAATATTCGGATTATGAAGGCATTGGCCTCATAGGTGGTCCATTGGCTTGGCTTTGGCGCCATTGGCTTGGCTTTGGCGCCTCCAGTGCCACTCATGGAGGACAAAGTGAGAGGTTTTGCTTTGGTGTGCTGAGGATTGAGGAGCCTCCAGTCAGCATCCCCGTGACCTTCGTGACAGAGGTCTCCCACTGGGTTTGTACCCCAGCTTCTCCAATAAGAACCGAAAGACATTTTCCAACCACCCTGTGGGCTTTCCCAAGTATTTCTTCCTATTTTAAGTGATTTTTTTGGGATACTTCTTTGGCTTTCATGGAAGAGCATCACCTTAACATGGCTCAGGAAGCAGAGACCTTGAGGACCTTGACCATATTATTAAATCTGGAGGAGTCTCTTGGTGGAGCACTATTAATATTTAAATCCAGCAACACTTTGCAGATTGAAAACATTAATGAGTGTTTATGAAGTGCTTTGGTATTCAAAATTTGGAGGAAGCCTCAGCATCCTGCTTGCTCATTATTACGCTTATTTTATATTCAAATTGATGCCAGAAATTAGGTGAAGGTCACCCAAGGAGCTCTGCCCTAAACTCCAGAGTTCCTCCCTATCGCAACTTTTACATGTGATGATTCTTTGTGGAAAAAATACCAGCAGGTTTCTTTTAGTGTTCATTTAATGCTCTTTTAGTGCTAATCCTGATAATTTCTTTATTTCCAGATCAAGTTGAGGCTTGAATTCTCCACTTTGCTGCGCTGAACTGGGGTCAAACCCTCCAGTGAACGGCTCTGCAAAAAATGCAGTGGGATTTTTGCGAAAAACATTCTTCTTGCTCCTGCAGCAGCATGGCTTTGATTCAGGAGCACTTTGGAATTAAAATTTATTTACAGTTCTGTTCCTTTTCCCTGAAGTTGATGAGGTTTAATGTAAAGTCCCTACATTTACATTTCCTTTAATTAAAACCCTGTGGTGCTCCTTTCTACTGAGCACAAATACTTTCAATCATGTGGGAATGTCTTCCTTTTTTTACTGAATATTTCTCTCTCACCAATGACCTTGAGAAATCAGAAACGGCTTTTCTATAATACAAAAAAAATTTGGATTTGACAACGGAGGCAATAAAATGGTATCAGGAATGTTGCTGGCCCAGAAAGCGTTAAGATGAAAGAAACCTGTAATATATGGGACATACAGGAACACAGTAATAATCCCAAACAATGAGGAAAATTACATTAATTGAAGATATGACGTGTACAGGCAAATTTGTTTGCCAACCAGTAGGACTCCAAATCTTTTGAATCCACAGGGCGTCTGAGATAAGCCAGGAGGGAAAATCAGGAGTATAAAAAGGGCTTGGAGCTCAGGGCTCCTCATCAGCTCTCCTGCCTTCTCCTCCCGGTGAACTCGGTAAGCTTTTCCTCCTTGCTCCTCCTGGACTGGGCATTTTCCTTTCAGAATTTTGGCTGGGGTTTTTGCTCCTCTGAACTGTCAGGTTTTGCTGTTCCTTTTACCTGGGCTTCCTGGGTTCAACTTTTAAAGCTGCAGGTGGAACTTTCCTGGTCCTGTTGGCACCTGGGTTCCCTGATAAGGGATTTTTAGGACAGCAGAGATAGGAAAGGGCTTCCCCACTATTACTCTTGGTGGGTTTTTCCTTAAATCTCCTATTTTAAGTGGGATTTTGTGTCTGTCTGGCTGCACAGATGTTCTCATGTGTGTCCATGCTCCATGGTTTCTTCTGTGGGCTCTCAGCATTTCCAGGTGCAAATTAAAATGGGTGGAAAGCTCTGAAATGGGTCTTATAGTGATGGACCCAAAACCTGAGGGGTGTTATCACAGGAAAATTCTGGGAAGACTTTCCTGATGGAGTCAGGAATGCAGAGCTCCATGAAAAGCTGATATGCTAAAAGAAAGTTAGGGTTGCTAATTCCTACCCACGTTCTCTCAGAAAAGACCCTGAAGCAGCAGCAAGGTTTTGATCTGTGGCCACTAATTCCATCAGGGGTTCCGCCAGTCCAAGGAATACAGAAATAGTTTAATATGACTATATTGAATCTACATTAATATAGAATATAAAATAATTTAAAGGCAGTGAGTAGATGAGCAGATTATACAAATGGGGCGTAAGGAGGAGCTGAGGTCATCATTTTTCCTCTGCTCTGGTTCTCACGGGACCGGTGAGGAAGATTTTGGGCTCTAAGGTTGCTACTACTCCTTGGAGTATTTACTACTCTTCCTTTCCTCCCCGTTGTAGATTTTACCTCCATCTCCCAAAGATGACTTTCCTCCAAGGCCAGTGCGAGGATGACTGCTACTACGGGGGCCTCTATGGCTACCGGGGCTACGACTGCGGGAGCCCCTGCGGCTACCGGGGCTACGGGGGCCTCTACGGCTCCCGCGGCCTCTACGGCTGTGGGGACCGCTACGGCTACGGCAGCTTGTACGGCTACCGGGGCCTCTTAGGCTCTGGGGACTGCTACAGCTCCGGGGGGCTCTATGGGGGCTACCGGGGCTTCTTCGGCTCTGGGGACTGCTATGGATACCCCGGGTACTACTCCGGCCGCTACGGGTACCCCTTCGGCTACCGCTACGGCCAGAGGTTCGGATTCGGGGGCTGCTACAGCTGCTAAAGCCAGAAGGAGCCACTCCAAAACCCAGCCCGGGTTTGGTAGGATTGATGAAGAGTCCGGCACCAGCGACCGCGGGTGGGCAGAGTTTTGGGGACAAGAGGCACGGCTTGGTGCTCCGAGAGCTCTGCGCTGCTGCTGAAGGGCTGGCGGTGATTTGCCTTCATCCCGCTGCCCCAAGTCTCCTCTCGGCCCAGACCTTCTCCTCAATCCTCTGAGCAAACCAAACTCCGTGTTTTTGGCAGTGTTGTACAAAACGTTCCCTCTGACTGGATGATGTGGGTGTGTGGGTGTCATGTGACTTTGGGTGTGTGGTCTTTCCGTTCTGTATCCCTTTAAAGTTACCTCTACCTTTCATTCCTAATAAAGACTTTTTTCTGCATCAATTCAGCATTTCTGGGTTTATTTGTCATTTAAGTTTCTCAAAGAGCTTGAAGCCTTTGGCATCCAAAACCCTGAGGAAGCCTCAGCAACCTGTTTGCTCTTTTTTTACACTTATTTTAAATTTAAATGAACTCCAGAATCTGGGTGGAGGTCGCACAAATATAAATCCTTCTCAGCAAAAGGACTGGGAGACAAAATTATGAACTTTGTGAGTTTAAGGACTGGAGATGTCAAAGGTAACACTGGTGAGGTTGGACTTGAATCCTGTGTCCAGTTCTGGGCCTCTCACGCCAAGGTGGACATGGAGGGGCAGGAGCGTGTCCAGATAAGGGAATGGAGATGGAACAGCTGGAAAAGGGAATGGACAATCCTGATAGAGCTGGGAGAGTCTCAGCCTGGAGAAAAGGGGGATCCAAGGGGAATTTTGGGCTCTTCCAGGTGGAACTTTGGGATCTCATCCCAGGGAACAGAGACAGGACAAGAAGAAATGGTGGTGGCTTTGCTTGTGTAGATGTTGGCTTAGAAAACTCAAACCACCCCCTTGGTCTTCCACACAGAACAGAAGAGAATCCATATGAACTGAATAAGATCCATTTTTAGGGGTGCAGTTGCAATAACACACTAAACCCCCTTGATCTTCCACACAGAACAGAAGAGAATCCATTTGAGCTGAATAAAATCCATTTTTAGGGGTGCAGTTGCAATAACACACTAAATCCAAGGTCTAGAAGCCAGAAAATAGTGGGGGAAGTGGAGGGAAAAAGACAAATACTTCTAAAGACTAAAAACTGATTGAAATGTCCTCATTTCTCTTGGGCAGCCCCTTCCAAGACCTGACCAGGAGGAAATTTCTCCTTGCGTCCAACCTGAGCCTCCCCTGGCACAGCTTGAGGCTGTTCCCTGTTGTCCTGTCCCTGTTTCCTGGGATCATATCCCAAATCCCCCTGGAAGAGCCCAAAATTTGCCCTGGATCCCCCTTTTTTACCAAGCTGAACCCCACCAGATCCCTCAGGATTCTCCATTCCCTTTTGCAGCTGCTCCAGTCCTGTTCTCTTCCCTGGACATTCTCCCGCCCCTCAATGCCCCCTTGCCATGAGGGACCCAGAGCTGGACACGGATTCGAGTCCAGAAAGTCCCTTCAGAATCCCACAGCTCCCAGAATATCCACCCAAACCAAGGACACAGGCAAGAAAACAACTGGATCTCCAGAGGTTTTTTTTCAAATGCAGAAAGTATTTAATAGAACAAGAAAAAGAGCTGGCACAGGTACAGAAAGATTATAGTTTTGGGATGCTGGAGGCAGCTCCGGGAGGTGAGTCACTGCACTCCAGAACATTCCTTTTTGCTGAAGTTGTGTTGTTCATCCTTCAGGTCCTTGTAAACGTAGATCAAAGGCGAGACAGCCGTAACGCTCCCTCACCCAGGGCTGCAGCGCCGTGCTGGAAGTGCTTATTGAAAATGCAGATGACACCAAATCTAATTTCACAGAGGTCCTCCAGCCCCATTGCAGCAACTCTGAGAAGTTTCACATGAATTGCAGATCGCCCCTCCCGTTGCTGAAGGGGCTGTGGGAGGGTTTAAATGCAGAATATCAGGAGAGTTGAGAAAGGCAGGAAGAAGGAGACAGAGACAACAACAAAACCAGAAATTCCAAGAGGTTTCAGAGCACAGCAAAGCCCCCACTCGTGGTGACTTCACCGTGGTGGCTCCACACTTGTGCGAACATCAACTGCGGGCTCATCCGTTCGTCTTCCGTGGGCGTGGGTCCGTTCGTGGGGATTTCCCCTGGGATCAGCAGCAGGGGTAGCAGCAGGAGTAGGAGCAGCACGAGGGGTAGCTGTAGCGCGTGATGGAGCGCCGGGAGGTGCAGCAGCTGCCGTAGGAACGGCGGCAGCAGCTCAGGATGCGGGAGATGGATGGGGTGCAGCAGTAGGTGCGGGTGCAGGTGCGGTAGCAGGGGGAGCAGCACAGGGTGTAGCAGCGTGGGGAGTAGCAGCACGAGGAGTAGCAGCACGGGGAGTAGCAGCAGGACATGGTGGGGTGCAGGGGTGGTGGTGAGCCTGGAACAGGACAGGAGAAAATGGGGGAGAAAAAAGGGTTTGTAAGGGCAGAGTCGTGGTGTGAGTGAGGTGCGGTTGGGTGGAATCCCTCAGGTTTGTGTGGGATTTTCATGTCATAGATTCCCAGAATTCCAGAACACAGGATTCCAGAACCCCTGAATCCCAGGATTCCAGTACCCCAGAATTCCAGGATCCTGGGATTCCAGAACCCCAGGATCTCAGTATACCAAACCCCCCAGGATCCCAGAATTCCAGAACCCCAGCATCCCAAGATCATTGAGGTTGGAAAAGACCTCCAAGATCGAGTCCAGCCTGCACCAATCCCCGCCCAGGGCTCCGAGTACCATATCCAGTCCTTCCTTGGGATGGGGACTCCAAACGTCCCTTCCAAATCCCAAAAACCCTTTCCAAGAGAAAAAAAAATCTTCCTGAAGAAGGGATTTGTGGGTGTTTGATGTCCAGGCTCCTGGGACAGGCTGAGGTAAATCCCATCTCAGTGAAGGAGTCCCAGTGTCTGACTGGAATCCCTCCCAGCGTTCCTGAAGTTCTTGGAAATGCACAACTCAAGGAGTTCATTAAGTCTCCAGCCTCCCTGTCTGGTTTTAATCTTGGCACATAAACGATTCCTTCTCCTGGGCAACACCGGCTTTGTTAGTGCCAGTTCTAGCAAGGGCACACTGCTGGACAGAGAAGGTTTAAACCCTGCAGCTCAGAGCTGCCCCAGGGACTCCAGAGGGACAAAAACAATTCCTGAGACTTTTCCATATTCCCCATTGCAACATCCTGCCACAAAAAGCCATTTCCTCCTTGCACAACCACTCTGCCCAGGCCCCAAAATTCCAGGTGTCACCACAGGAGAAAAATAAACCCAGAACTCCAGAACTTCTAACTCAGCTTCCCATCGTTCCAAAGACATGGGAATGTCCATGGGTTGATGTCCCACAGATTAAAAGCATCCAGGAGAAAACACCCGTGAGCAAAGGATTCCCCCAAATTCAAGGATCCTCCAGGAGAAGGGGATCTGGACTTACCGAGTTCAGTGGGAAGAGCAAACCAAGAGGAGCCGTGTGAGGAGCACTGGGGTGGGGAGCATTTTTATATTCCCATTGTGGAGGTTGGAGCAGTTCCCCGAGAGTTCCCCTTAGTCACGGGACAAATTTGGGAAGTACATCAGCAGCCCAATTGCTATAATTGTTTTCCTCCGCATTTAGGACAATTTTGGAATTCCTGGGGTTGAGCACTGTGATTACAGCCGGGAGATTCTTTCATCTCCAAGCTTTCCAGGACAGAAAGATTTCTGGGAAAGCACCCAGAGGACATCTGGGAATGGGGCTGGAGGCTACACGGAACAGCTCCAGCCCCAATTCCTGGTCAGCTGCGAGCCCATGGATTGGTTCTTTACCTCGTGGCCCCACCAGGGAGGTGGGCACTGCACATTTTGGGGTGACGTAAAACAGCCGGGAAGAGGAGGAGAATCACCCCAGGTGCTCCGGGATGTCCGTCACAATTAATGACAGGCATTCCATTGATTCTTTTAGTTTCTTCTCCTGCCTATAATTTATCCCAGGAGATGTGCAGGCCAAGGCATGGGATCAATTAAAGCAGCATCTGAGAAATGTGGTTAATTTTTATGATGCGAGCGTTTTGGGATTTTTTCTATTTTTTTCCAAGATGAAATGATTGGAAAAACTCGCTTGAGCTGTGTCTTGTGATATCATTCAGGTGTCTGATATTTATAAGGTTTATTATGAGATCCATGGGCATGAGCTGGCGACGTGAGCTCAGCCCAGAATCCCTCCCTGTCCTGGGCTGCATCCATGGGCAGGGGGTGAGGACGGGGCTTCTCCCCCTCTGCTCTCTCTGGTGGGATCCCACCGGGAATGCTGAGCTCAGTTCTGGTGTCCTCAACATAAAAGGGTCGTGGAATCGTTGGATGTGGAATCGTTGGAGCGAGTCCAGAGGAAACCACGAAGTTGATAAAGGGACCAGAGCCCCTCCCCAATGGATCCAAGCTGGAATGTTGGGAATGTTGAGCCTGTGGAGACCCCAGAGCTCCTCCAGGATCTGCAGGGGCTCCAGGGAAGTTGGAGACGGACTTTCCCTCAGGAATTGCAGGGACAGGACACGGGGAATGGGGTCAGGGGGACAGAGGGGGAATTTGGGTGGGATCTTGGGAAGGAATTGCTCCCTGTGAGGGTCTCAGGTTATTCCATGGATTTCCCATCTCTGGGAGTGCCCAAGGCCAGGGTGGACATGGCTTGGAGCAACCTGGGATAGTGGGATATGTAGTCCTTAAAACCCAACCCCTTCCGTGGTTCCATGTCCATAATAACAAGCCAAAGATCTTCTCTTTTGCCGTAAAAATAAAAAACTTCTGGGGTCCTCCTCATCTTTAGGGATGAAATCCGGGTCTCCAAAACTCATAAGAGTTAAAATCATCAAATTATTTTCCTGCCTCGGGTGGGCTGGAGAGCACAAAGGGCTGGACATTCCCCTCGGGAGGGATTTTCCTGAGGCAGGAATTGCTCCCCGACCTGCTGTGGTGGCATTTTCCAGCAGGATCTCTGTCACTCTGCTCCAGGGGACGGCAGGAATTATAAATAAATATCAATAATTTGAATAAGGAAAACCCTCCCTTGGCCCCGGGGCTCCCTTCCCCGTTCTGCTTGTGATACTTGAGGAATTCTTTAAACCGGGAGGGTTTAAATAATCCAAACATTGCCAAAGGAGCTCCTAATGACTGTTTTGGGATGGCGCTGATACCAGAAATTCTGATGAGGCTCAGCACTTCCCCAGTGTCTGTCATTATCCTCATTTAATATGCAAATGAAGCATGGCTCACTGCGGTGGAAGGTCATACAAGGAGGTATTTGCTGAATTTTCAAAAAGCCTCTTGATTTGTGCTGGGAAGGGTGAAAATCGGCATTAACAAGATCTGTTGC